TTGTATTATTGCTATTTATTTTGGTAATCACCGAAATAACAAGGCTTTCGTATCTCTCTGTGCTTAGCAAAACACTTCTCACTTCTGTATCAGATAGCCTTTGCTCAGGCAGTATTTAAACTGGGGTTCAACAAGAGTTAACCCAGTTCTACTGTTTTTTTGCTTCAAAATTTGGAATTTACCATGCCATTCGTGATGTAAACTTTTATTTTTCAGCACAAATATGCAAAGGACTTTCACTATATTAGTCTTTCTCTCAGGCGCGCAACTCTTATCCATAAATGGTCAAACGTGAGCTCAAACTTTGTTTTGAACACTAAACATGACGAATTAATCGTTTATTTGATGCAAAAATACTCAACAAAGAATACTTCTTTACATTAATTTCACTTTCTGCAAATAAATTTTTAAATTTACATGTTAAGTTTAAGTCTTGCAGTAATAATATGGATGTTGCACAAGCTGATTTCGCGCTCAACTTACTAAAAGTAACAGCAGAATTAGGCAAATCTAGCATCTTATCACCGCTGTCCATATCAACAGCACTTTTCATGCTTTACGCTGCAACAAGTGGCAGGACGAGGCAAGAACTAGTGAATGTTCTAGCAAGAGGCTAGTTTAAGGCTTTTAAAAAAGCAAAACGTTTTGCATCAGCAGCAATGAAATTTAAAATATTACTGCCCGGAAATCAAACAAATCAGACAATTATTATAAATGGACTGATTGAAGAGATTAAAATTTCGTGTTAATTTTCAGTGCACAATTTTATTTCTGTAATTCTACAAAAACAAATTTCATTTTCAGGAGTAAAGAATGAAGAAATTGAGGCTTACATCGAAAAACTTCTCACGGATGTTGCCAGTCAAAGCGGAAAAAATTATACATTAAGTATAGCCAGTCGTATTTACGTGCGTCCAACATTATCCGTGAAACGTAGCTATTACAGATTCATGACAGAGTTTTATAATGAACGTGTATATTCTATTGACTACAACAAAATAAGTCAGGTCATTCAGGTGGGATTCTAATCAGATCAATTTAGTATTTGATTTTTTATAAAACAAAAAAAGTATCACTGAAGCAAATACTTGTAATCATTTATTTCGTATTTTTATTATATGATATTTAAGGAGAAAAAAAACAATTAATTAATGAAGAGGTTTGATTTTTTAAGTTTACTATAATCTATCAATAAACATAAAGACTTGTAAGGATGAAATAAGCTTA